ATGAAAATAAAGCCACTTGATTTGACTTGAAATAACCAATCTTATCCTTTTTATCTTTAGGCACTTGGTTAGTAGCGGCCTGTCACATAAAGACATTTCTTTAGTTTAATCCACAAAAAACTCCAAAGATAAGTTTGACAGAAGTATTTTTACACCAACAAAGTTTTCAAAAAGCTGTTGTTTGAAAACTCTGCAATATGTGCTAAAATAGAAAACTGAACAAGTACACAGCAAAAAATATAAGTAGCCTAAAAATTAGCTTAAGAGTCATTAGTCATAGATTTGCATCTCCGGATCCCGAACCCTAACATTATTGAAGCATTGTGGGATCACCGTCAAGGAAAATGGAACAAAGAGCACCTAGCATCCAAAGAAGAGCTTCGAATGTCCTTCAAAAAGTCTGGAGAACTAGTCCTGAAGACTGTTTAAAGAATAAAAGGTAGTCATTCCAAATATTGACTTTTAAGCTTGTTAGAATTATAAAAACTCTGTATTTACCCCAAATACTTGATTTCCAACTATTTCCTATTTTCCCAGGAAAACGTAAAGAAATGAGAGGTCTCTAAAAACATAAACAACACATAAGCATATATTCTTAACAATCTCAACTAAATGTAGCATATGCAAACTTTTTTTAAGTTCATTAAGATTATATAGATTCCTAGCATACTAAAGAATGAAGAGGCATAAAATAATTAAAGGTTATAGCTCAACACTAGCGGAGATAAAGGTCACTATAAAATTTAACAAACTTTACAATTTACTCTTTGCCACCAACAAACCATAGTCTTGCCTGTTACTTGGCATTTACGGAATCCGTGTCTGGCTATTGAACAACAAGGTTTGTCGAGTTGAAAGGACATTTAAAAAACAAAACAAACAAACCTTCCTTTCAGTAACAACAACACGCACAGCCTTTTTCGGACATCTACTATAGCAACCTCAATTCCCACTATTGTACACTTAAAATTTAACATATATGAGCCCAGACTCTTTTTACTGTTAGTAAAACCTATAGGAGAGTGTTAAAGCCTTAACAGGAACTTTCCTCACTGTGTACAGGGCTTCTTATGGGTTAATAAGCAACATTTACTCGGACAGCATTAATGAATGACCTTTATTGTATTTGGTTTAATTAGTGAATAAAGACTGATTAGGGAGAATTTCCGACGTGCTATATCGTCCATATGTTGTAAATCATCTCAGGGTAAACCGTGTATTCATGTGCGTCAACATGTCTGTGAAGGTTCTCAGAATGTGCGTCAAAGGCAAAGCTAAAGAATGATGCAATAGCCATTAAGCTAACTGCTCCACTATCGATCCCAATATCATAAATGTGTGAGGCACTTAGAAGTGTTATCCTAAGAGAATCTGAATAAGAAGCAGTCCTTAATAAAATGCAGTTTCAATACACTTACGAAAAGAAGCAGTATATAAACGGTAACGTCATCCATTTTTCATATTAGCATTAACTAGCTAGCTGCAAACGATAGCTCTGTAGCACGCAAGCTAACAAGGTAGATAGCATCAGGTAAAAGTTACCATTTCGTCTAACATTACCGAGATTTCAGTTGCATGTTGACTAAAAGCCATACCTCGAGAGTTTCAGATGTATTCGTCAGCTTTAAAGATCCTTTGTTTGCTTCTTGTGGAGTGATAACAAATTGAATGAAAACGGTTGCCCCCTCGTCTTGCCTTGTTATCAAACAGCAAGGCCTATGATGTGACCGCACCAATCAAAATCTTGTAAGAGTATCCGCCCACATTGACGCCCTGTCTACAGCGCATAAAATTAGCCGTAAAAAGTCTTAATGGCAGCTATGGGTACCAATAATAAAGCTGCACCTCTAAGCGCCAACTGTCGCGAAACACCGAAAGGGCAATGTAGGATTAGAAAATACAATTTGTGACACAATGTCGTCATCCAAGCATTGATTTTGTTCGCTAAGCTTCTGGTTTCTTTATGGCCAGGGCACTAATTTAGACCCGGAGCCTCCAGTAGGTAATTTAGGCCTGGGTGTTTACGTCAGTCCAATCTTTGCCTGCTGGAATCTAGGTTACTGGGTGGAGAACGAAACAGGGGCTGTATCCCAATTCAGGGTCTGCAGCCTTAAAGTGCGCAGCCTTAATGGTCCACAAGGGCCGCGTACTCAAAGGCCGGAAGTGAGAGGCTTGTGAAATGGGACAGTCTAGCCTCCATCTCGCTGCCCAGGATGCCTAGCAACCATGACACTAACAGCTGGAAACGTTTCATACAGCTTTGTTTGACAGAAATGAAGGAGAAAATCTTTTGTTCATTTGTTTGTTTGTTTCTACATGAGCTTTGATTTGATAAGTATCTGAGGCTGACTGTGAAATCATGATTATTGGGCTTCACATCTGTACTGATACTGAACAGTCATTTAAGATTAGCTAGTAAATAACAATTAGCTAATGTTGTTCATGAGACTAAAGTCATCTCACTTTGGTAATGTAAATATAATATGGCCAATATTAAAGTTATAATTTCAATCATTATTAGTAAATGCAGTAAAGATTCAAGCTGCATTTATTTATATTATTTATATTTCCTGTCACCTTAAATCTTCACTCAAAGACAGGTTTCTTTGATACTGTATATATAACTGTGTTATATATATGAGAGACAAATATTGTTCTTTTAATATATTGGCATTACTAAAATTGTCTCAGTGCTTAATTTAAATATCCATAAAATCATCACATTCTCTGTAAGATTAACGTCAACTATTGAACAGCGTATATTTTAAAGTAAAGGCTTTAAAACCAAGTTAGTACAAACATCGCTAATGTCACATAACTTTGCCGACATGTGGCCAACAGTAATGTTTTAATGTTCCTCGTTATTAAACATTCGCACATAAATAAGTGACATAATATTCAGTACTTACTTTTAAAAGTTTACTCTTAGGCCGCCCCTATTCCGGTTTTTTTTTCGGCAAAATTATCCACACCCACTGCCGCACTATGCATTCTGGGATATGTTGGGCCACGAAGTCTACACCGCCACATCCTTAAAATTCAATGAAATGAAGGACGCATTTGAGGGCCGCATTTTCGAGCAGCCTTTGAATTGGGACAGCCTTCGTCGTGTCGCTGTGACGTAATTGGCCTTAAAATGCGGCCTTTAAGGCTGCAGACCCTGAATTGGGATACAGCCAGTGTGTCAAACTCTTTCCATACCTTGCATTTGCCCATGTGCCACCCATATAGTTTGACCATGTGGGCCCCACATGTGTCATCAGTGCTAAAATATATATTGACTACCTCACATTTGCCCCACCTGGGGCCCACATAGACATGTTTTCAGGGTCTGACTTGCATTTGCCCATGTGTGACCCATATAGTTTGACCAGGTGGGCCCCACCTGTGTTATCAGTGCTAAAAACATATATTGATTACCTCACTTTGCCCCACCTGGGGCACACAAAAACAGCTTTTCTTTAAAAGACTATGTTAGCACATATCTAACCCAGGTGGAAAACCCAAGTGGGTCCTACATGTGTTTCCCATTTTGGACCAAGTGAAGTGTTTCCCATGTTTGACCCAGCCAGGACCTACTATATGTTTCCACTTGGTTTTGCCCATATGGCTTTAATGTGAGAAACCTAAGTGGGTCCCATATATACTAAACAATCTTGAGCCCACATAAAATATATGCCCATATTAACTTAACATAACCCATCCTGGGGCCCACATAGACATGTTTTCAGGGTCTGACTTGCATTTGCCCATGTGCCACCTATATAGTTTGACCAGGTGGGCCCCACCTATGTCATCAGTGCTAAAAAAATATATTGATTACCTCACTTTGCCCCACCTGGGGCCCACATAGACATGTTTTCAGGGTCTGACTTGCATTTGCCCATGTGTGACCCATATAGTTTGACCGGTGGGCCCCACCTGTGTTACATGCTATAAAACATATATTGATTACCTCACTTTGCCCCACCTGGGGCACACAACAATCAGCCTATCCTTAAATTACTGTGTTTGCCCATGTCTATCCCAGGTGGAAAACCCAAGTGGGTCCTACATGTGTTTCCCATTTTGGACCAAGTTAAGTGTTTCCCATGTTTGACCCAGCTAGGACCTACTAAAAGTGCCCACTTGGGCATTGCCCATATGGGTTTAATGTGAAGAACCCAAGTAGGCCCCATACAAAAAGCCCAGTTTGAGCCCATGCCCATATGGTACCCATCCAGCCCGAGCAAAAACCAGGTGGGGCCCATATATACATGTTGGCTGGGTCAAGGGGGTAAAAGTGGAAGATAAGTCGTTAACTAGGATGAGCTGGATAAAAAAAAAAAGTCAAACCTCAAAATTTGACATATGTCAAGGTTCTGATATGTGCATAATGCTGTTATTAGATACATTTAGTGAAATAAACAAAATGTTTATTATGCAATGAAAAAGTAGAAATAAATACATAAAACTGCAGAAAATGTATACACAAGTACTCAGACAGTACATCAGAATTAGAATAAGAATACTTTATTGATCCCTAGGGGAAATTATCTTTCGTTACAATGCTCCATTATAAACAAACAGTAGAAAAGACAGTCCCTTGTGGTGCCCCTGTGTTGCTGATTACCTTGTCAGACACACACTGTGGGAGACGTACATATTGTGGACCACTTTTGTTGGATTTGAAGAAGGTGGTGGGGGGGGCAACTTCACTCACATAAAAAACATCACAGCACCTTCCAATACCTAACACAAACGTGAAACATAACACCTAAAAGACTTAGTTTGACGGGATGCTGACATGATTCAGATATTAAAATTAAGAGCCTCCGCCATTTTAAACAAAGCTTGTATAAAAGTATTAAATGTTGGGAAAATAAAATAGCCACACCAATAGATTTAATGTTCACGGACTTTGTTGTTACGCCAGTAGGCATTTACCAATTCGGACACAGCCATTGGTAGAGCCCCATGCTCGGCGGACCAATCACATTGTCTCCTGCCCATAACGTCTAGTGACGTAAGCAGCTGTGGCACTTCCTCGTTTGTTTTCTGGGCTGATGAACCGAAACCAGTCGCCCAAATTCAGAATGCATCTGTCAAGGTAAACACACTGTTTTAATTTTGCACCACCCAGCTGTAAAACAGCGCCGCTGTGCTTAGGTTGTGTTCATCGGCTAGCCAGCGGGTCTCTGTTTTTTAGCTTTAAGACTGACAGCCAGCGCTGTTTTAGCCTGCGAACGTTAGTTAGCTATTAACTATAACGGCTTGTGTGGTTTGTCAGGCTCGCTAACAAACTTACTCAGGTAATGTCAGTGGGGACATTTAGCCACTGCTGCAGGATGTGTTTGTAATGTACACACAGCACGGGTCAGGAATCTAACCTGACTTAACGTGCTGGTCCTCACAAACGATAAAGCAGCCGCTGACACTTAAAATACAGCTAAATATACAGCTAAGCGTATCTCACATCGAGCTACCAGTGTTTAGATAATAATAATAATGATAGCCCACTGGTAATACACGGGAGCAACTCACAGCCAAGACTGGTGTGCTATAGCATGCTAAACAAAGCTATAATGTATAGCTAATATTTATTTAATGTTTACAAACTGCGATAAGGATGGTCACCCTGGGCTTTTGGTCCATTCCCTATATTTTCCTCCACCCTCCCAGGTAAATTAGTGCTTTCTAATACATGTGCCCGCATCCTCTCATCACAACTGGTTTTTCACCTTTTTCAGAGGTGATTCAGTTTAGTTTTTGCAGGGTTGTAATATAGGTTATACTTGTAATGATATAACTCATAGTATTAATAAAAAATATTTATATGGCGTTTATCCCAGTTACAATTTACACCTTAAACAGTGAAAATGTATAATATTTAAAAGTCACGTTTTTGGGACATTGTGAGGTAAAGCATACTCTCTATTGGCCCGTTTCTCTTTTGTGTATTTTCTGGCTTACTCAGTTGGTAATATTATTGTGCTAGAAGAGGCTGGACATTAAGGCGGGACTGCTTGGAGCTGCTTAAGCCAGGATTACACTGACAGGGTTTATTTAAATACACTGCCTGTTCCTCTGTCATCATGCTTACATCACTGTCACACACACCCACAGCAACCTCCGAGCCCGTCCTTGTTCCCTAATTGAAAAACTGTCAAGAGTTCACATATGGAGCAAAGTAATCAGCTCCTTATGAAGAAATATGCATAATCACGCTGTTTGTTTTGCTTCTAGGGTTGGAATTTACATGAAGAGGCGAAAGCGGGCCTGCTCTCGAGCTTGATCATTATAGTCTTCCTCCATCTGGCTGTCACTCTCTTTGCCTCTTCACATCGGTGCTCATTTCCTCTCCCTTCACCAACATGCTGTGCTGGGGGAATGCCAAGGATGGGCAGTTGGGTATTGGTGTGGAGAAGAACCCTGTGTTTGAGCCGAGGAATTGTCATGTGTTCAGTGGCAGGGGAATGAAAGAGGTCGCCTGTGGAAGCCAACACTCTGTGTTTCTTATGTATGATGGCAGTGTGTACACATGTGGCTCTAACAGCTGGGGACAGCTGGGTCATGACAAAGCAGGGACTTCCCCAGGTAAGCTCTAAATTGGAAACACCAGATTGGACCACCCTGGTGAACAACATAGCAAGTATGTTTGAGCATGTGCCTGAATTTGGACTGATTTGGCATGATTTGTCTTTGTCTGTGTTTGGCTGCACAAGCAGGAGGTGAATTGATGGTCTAATAAAAAAGTCAAATTGTATTCTGTTCTTCAACTATAGTGGAGTTATGTATTAAAAACCTAGCTTGTTATTTTACGTTTAAATAAAAGTGTTAATCAATTAAAGTAGTTATACAAATGGGCATGGGCTGATGGTGAAATTCTGGGCCGTTAGTGATGTTTGGCTGACTTAGTTGCACATAACCAAGGTTAAAACTTATCTATGATGAGTGATTAGGCACACGAGCAAGATTGGTCTGCACATAGTTGTTTGAGTTAAAGAGTCTGTTTTATGTTTTGCTTCAAATAATAGAAAGTTTTATATAAAGTTTTTTTTTCCTCAGCCATTTGATAAATAATAATTAATTTTAAACTGGAATAAATTAAACTCCACTTTCAAAAAACTTAAAGAAATCACAGACCTGGTTATTTTCCTTTAGTATAAGCCAAAAGCTCTTTAGTGGACACCAATAATATTTTATATGGGAGAAGAAAAATACCCTGATGCTTAGTTACAAAGACTGAGCATGCAGTGAAATGTCTTTTGCAAGTCTTAGCAGGTTCAGTGGCTGTTGTGTTTTTATCTGATGTGGAAGCAGGATGACTGAGGATTTAAAAAAAGCACAGACACTCATGTAACAGCAGCATGACTGTATGCTGGAATTGGGGATCATTAGGTGAGTTTGATATGAAACAGAAAGGATTCGTGTACCCACATTTTGGGCATTTTTCCTAAAATGGTAGTGACTGCAGACATGATGGGTCTGTGTTGGTATTATGTGGGTGGAAATGTGTTCTACATGTTCTTTGTTATGGCTTGTGGGTGAACTTGTAACAGCCCTGAACAAATACAAGAATTGCTGGACCTTAAAAATCATACACAGATTTATTTGAAGTATGTCCATCCACATCTTTAGTTAGATACACTGCATAGATTCTGGGATGTTATCTCACAGGTTGTATAACATGCTGGGCCAACTTGGCATAATTATATTTTTGTTATAAGGCCTTTATCATTTTATGTTTATGTTATTGAATCTTTTTAACAAGCTTAAAAAATGTTGATTGTTGATTAAATGCTATAGTCTTACCTCACTTAAAACCACATTATCAACTATTTTGTGTTTTCAATTTGTCTAAAGCAGCTAACCCTTAGTTGGTCCTTAGCAGAATACCACCAACACCAACTGCAAAGTCTCACCCACACATCCTTTTTGCACGTGCTTCAACACAGCATTTCTCAGTGCAGTTAATAATATACTATTTTCAGAAGAAATGTGTATATTATGTTTCTTGGATCTGTTGTATTATTGTGTACAATAAATACTTGTATAATAAATAGCATGTAGTTTAAAATATTTAGACTTATAACTGAAAAACATATGGGTAAAGAGTAAAAGTAATGAAAAGACCTCTACTGTAGACCTGTCATCTCTTCACAGAGGTTGTTGGGGCTCTGGATACCCAAAAGATTGCGATGGTGTCATGCGGTCGGGGGCATTCGATGGCAGTGAATGAACAGGGTCAACTGTTTGCCTGGGGAGCTGGTGATGGGGGACAGCTGGGACTGGGGACCACAGAGACGACTGTTCGAATTCCCAGGTGCCCGTGTAGTTTATAGGAAGAAGGGTTTAGCCTGGCCACACAGAATTACACATGCCAGTAGGAAAACTTACAGTACTTACCAGCAGCCTAGCACCTACTTGTACAGCGTACATCTGGCCACTGCCACAGCTAAGTGTGTCCATAGAGCGTGCAGACGTAGACAGGTTTATCAGAGCCTATTTGAAAACTGTTAGTCACAGACTTCCTGTAAGTCTTTCACATGCAAATACTGGGAAAATGGGATTTTACTGTAATAAGTGGTTTGCAAAACGTTTTCTAGAATAAGCAATTAGTGCCCTGACAAAAATTTTATTTTTAATAGACAATTTACTGAAAGTTTATGAGGGGAAGAAAGCAGACAAAAGAGACTAAGACTAAATAGATATATCAGAAATATATTTATATCTATATGCTCACAAAATCATTATTAAAAAGAAAGAAAAACTACAGTGACATCTTCATTGTTAATCTATTGGTTACTCAGACTAACCTCAGTGTTATAGTGGAGGAGAAGAAGCCCCATGTAAACATATACTCAGCGAGATAGTTTAATAGTCAGTATTTTGTATGCAGCAGCCTTTCATAATTCAGTTCAACTTAGTTTTATTTATATAGCACCCAGTCACAACAATAGATGCCTCAAGACACTTTGTATTGTAAGAGAAAGACCCTACAGTAATACAGTGAAAATCCCAATAATCAGATCACCCCCTATGAGCAAGCGCTTTTGTGACAGTGGGAAGGAAAAACTCCCTTTTAACAGGAAGAAACCTCAGGCAGAGGCAGGTTCAGGGAGGGGCGGCCATCTGGCTCGACCAGTTGGGGGTAAGGGAAGGATGACATGAGAAAGACACATTGTGGAAGAGCGCAAGAAATTATTAATAACTAATGATTTAATGAAGATTAGTGTAAAAACACATGGTAAGAGAAAAAAAAACACTCAGTACATCACGGAAGCCTCCAGCCGACTAGGCCTATTGCAGCATGACTAAGGGAGGATTCAGGATCACTGGATCAAGCCCTAACTATAAGTTTGATTAAAAAACAAAGTTTTAAGCCTAATCTGAAAAGGAAAGTGGGTGTCTGTCTCCAAAATCCAAACTAGAAGCTGGTTCCACAAAAGAGGGGCCTGAAAGCTGAAGGCTCTTCCTCCCATTCTACTTTTAACTACTCTAGGAATTAAAAGTAAGCCTGCAGTCTGAGAGCAAAGTGCTCTATTGTGGTGATGCGGTACTATGAGGTCTTTAACATAAAATGGGACCCGATTATTATGGATTTAAAAGGGAGCTAGTGAAGAGAAGCCAGTATGGGTGAAATATGCTCTTTCTAGTCCCTGTCAGTACTCGTGCTGCGGCATTTTGGATAAGCTGGAAGCTTTTCAGTGAGTTTTTAGGAGATCAATAATTACCATACTGCATCGTAGAAGTAATAAATACTAGTTTTTCAGTATCAATCTGAGAAAGAGATTGCACGAAAGGAAGAAAGCAGTTCTTATATATTTGCTTAGTGTGTGCATTGATAAACATCCTGGTCAAAATGACTCCAAGGTTCCTCACAGTGTTACTGGAGGCCAAGGTAATCCCATTTAGAGTAAGCATATAGTAACATATTTTTAAGTTGTTTTTTTTTAGGGCTACGTATGCTAACCTCAGTTTGTAGTGGAATTTAGGAATTATAGGTCATCCAGGTCTTTGTCTTTCAGAGATTCCTGCAGTTTCACTAAGTTGTGTGTGTTTTCTGGCTTCATGGATAGATAAAGTTGGGCATCATCTGCATAGGAGTGAAAATATATGTTTTGCCTTCCAATGATACCGCCTAAGGCAGGGGTGTCCAACTCCAGTCCTCAAGAGCTGCGGCTTTTAGATCCATCCCTACTCCAACACAGCTGAATCAAATGATTGGATTACCCCTTCAGCATGCCATCAAGTTTGGCAAAGGCCTGGTAACAAGTCATTCATTTGGTTCAGGTGTGTTGGAAGAAGGAGCGCGACAGTAGCTCTCGAGGACTGGATTTCAACACCCCTCGCCTAAGGGAAGCATGTATAATATAAACAGAACTGGTTCTAGTGTGGAACCTTGTAGAACTCCATAATTCACCTTTGTGTGTAAAGAGGACTCCCAATTAACATGAACAAATTGAAGTGTTATAATTTTACGAAGTTTGTCTGAATTAGATCTCTCTTGTAAATGAGATGTTGAGTCTCAATGGGGCTACCTGTATAAATAAAAGTTAAATAGCAAGTAAAAAGTCTATTAGATAGATGTGATTCGAACCACCTTGAATAGCTACAGCATGCTCTAATCGCTGTAATTAAATTATGGTCATCGAACCTCATTGCACCGAGGTTTAGAAGAAGCACAGACAGGAATCTACCATCAGTGGCCATAAGAAAACCATCTGTAACCTACACTAAAGCTGTCTCTGCAATCTGATGCATTCTAAAACCTGACTGAAACTTTTAAAATAAACAATTTCTCTGCAGATGATTAGTTAGCTGTTTTACAACTACTCTTTCAAGACTTTTTGAAAAAGGCAGGTTAGGAAGGTTGTGATTGGCCTATAATCAGCTAAGACAATAGACATCAGGTTTGACATTATTTGGAATTCCCAGCCTTTTCATTCATCATCTACTTAAACAAGAAATGTTTTAAATGTGTATTTTTGGCTTGATAAACAAATGTTTTTGTTTCTTTTTAAATTTATCCTAGGTTGGTCAAAAGACTGTGTGACCATCGCATCTCTCAAGTAATGTGTGGGAATCAGCACTGCATCGCACTTTCTAGAGGTGTGAAAGACAATTTCTTTATAACACCTCATCACTGTTCACGATGTGAATGTTGGATCCCAACTGTGTCCAATCGAGCTGAAATTTATGGCATCAGAAAACCCTCATAAATTCTTAAATTCACTTCATGCAAATTTTAGCTCATCTATCCACTCGTCCACAGTTCACTAGAAGCGTTAAGCCTTTAACGGTATTGGTCAGATCTGAGTGAAACTTGCACATGGTCAAGGCTGTTTTACGAGCAATCACCAGGCAGTAATGATGGAGAACAAGTGTGTGTGTTTATCAATGTAACAACAAAGTGTCAACCATCAGCATCAAGGTTAGCATGACTAGGACTCAAGACATAATATTTTCATTAAAATATGTGATTGCAAAGGGAGGAGAGCATAGTTTGAGAAAATGCAATGAGATTTTAAATTGACTGTTTTTTGTCCAAAGAAATGTGATCAGATGTTGAACCACAGCTTCTTGGGGCTAAACACACATAGCTTCATGTATTAATACTAACAGGATAATGGGGTCTGTGATTTATCTGTCAGCCTGAAAAGTTGTTTATTTATTTATGTTTGGTGTAAGCTTTGACTTGATTTAAGTTTGGCTATAAATGAAAACATTTGGTGTTGTTGATGTTTTGGCAATATGTAGGTCTGAGCCACACCCTGTAACAGCTCTAAATATAGCCACTCTATAAAACAGACATCTGCCCTGTATTTTGTGTTCATTATTGGTGTTGATGTGAGGTAAAGTTCATGATGTGCGTTTTTCCTCTCAGATGGCCAGCTGTTCACATGGGGCCAGAACACCAGCGGGCAGCTCGGGTTGGGGAAAGGAGAGCCCAGCAAGCTGTTCCCTCATCCTCTAAAGTCTCTGGCAGGAATTCCTTTGGCACAAATAACGGCAGGAGGAGACCACAGTTTTGCCCTCTCATTGTCTGGAGCTGTATTTGGCTGGGGCAAAAACAGAGCTGGACAACTGGGCCTTAATGATAAACAAGGTAATAATCACCTGGTTAGAAAGAACAGCGACTGTTATATGATATAATGCAGAGTGTAGAGCTTCATGCAAATTATATAAATCTTTACGTAATATTGTGTCTCACATTTTTATCAATTTATTCGCGCTTGAAAAAAAAAAGGTTTTCACAGTACTCCACATGGTGTTGTGAAAAACTAAGTTCACCTGTACTCTTTTGATAATATTTTAGAGGTTAAGTAACAGCTAGGTACTATTAATAATTAATAATGACTGTCAAGTGTGAGTACCGCTATCAAAGCAGACGTTTTGGCAGTTTCTGATCTGAAGCATTCACGTCTTAACACAATGCCACAATCTTCCCTGGAAAGGACGTCTCAGCAAATTCAAACTGAGCAATACATAGAGAAACTGCAAAAAACCCAGCAGCTACATCTCAGACTCTAGAGGCCTCTGTTAGCAGGTAATTGTAAAGTTCATGATGGTACAAATAGAAAAGGTCTGAACAAGTGTGGCTTATTTGTAGGGGTGGGGGGAAAAAATCGATACTGTGTAGTATCGTGATATTTTGTTTGCTAATAATGTATCGATACAGGGTCAGCAGAAATCGATATTTTGTTACAAAAAAAGTTTTTGTGGACTGGAACATGCTCTGACTTCAGAGCATGTTGATCCTTTTTCTGAGCAAGAATCCTGACATTCCTTCACTGTCCAAATGTGTTTAACTTTTTTTTTTGGCAGCAATAAACATGACAGTTTACTTATTTTAATTTAAGACATGTTTTATTTTAATTAAGTTTAAAACTTTTTTATTTAATGTAAAATTATATTTTGTTTTAATTTACTTTCAAATTCTTCAGTTGCTGAAGGGGCTGCATAGTTTTCATAAATTTCAAAGTTCAGAATAGCTATAATTGTACCAGATGGTTGCATTCAGTTAAGTTGGACTAGACTGTAATACAAACCGTTCAGTTTGTCAACAATAAAACTGACTGAAATGAGAGAAAGACTGAGTGTGAGACTTTGATATTAGATAAAATAAATATTGATAAAGTTTACCTTTATGTACAGAATCTGAATATCGCAAAATATAAAAAAAAAAATTGCAATAATATCGTATCGTGCGTTAAGTATTGTGATAATATCGTATCGTGGGATGTATGGTGATTCCCACCTCTACTTATTTGGAAGGGTTACCAGGAGGAAGCCTGTTCTCTCTAAAAATAACATGACAGCACAGCTTAGGTTTGAAAAGTTGCATCTGAGAAAATTGCAAGACTTCTTGAATAAAGTCCTTTGGACAGATGAGGCCGTTGGGGTGGCTGTAGTTTAGGAGGTAGAGCAGGTCATCTACTAATAGGAAGCTTCTATTTCTATTGTGTCTCTGAATGTCACATAGAAAGCACTTAAGCATAGAATGGATGTGAATGTGTGAATGAGGCATGTTGTATAAAGTGCTTTAGTGGTCAGCTAGAGGAGAAAAGCACTATATAAGAACTAGTTCATTTACCATTTATCATTATGCCAACGTGCAGATGTTTGGCCATAATGCACAGCACCATTTGGAAAAATTAAACACAGCATGTCAGCATAAACACCTCATACCATCTGTCAGCACGGTGGTGGAGGGGTGATGATTTGGGCACCTTGGAGTCATGGAGTTGACCATGAACTCCTCCGGATACCAAAGTGTTTTAGAGTCAAACTTTAGATGTCTACCTGACATTTAAAGTTTGGCCAATACTGGGTCAGGCCACAGGACAACAGCAGCAAATCTACCGCAAAACGGTATTGTTGCCATTGTCTGTGAAACAATGGCAACGAGCTTGATTGCTCTCACGCTCATTTTTTGTTTTATGAGTAGTTAGAGGTCACCATTTTGGAGAAGAGATCTATTTATTAACATTTCATGGAAATGATCCTCAATATTAAATAATTTAATAATTTAATTAATTAACATATCCACGTTTAGTTTAGTTGCCATTATGGTGCTAAATCAGAATGCAAAAGTTTAAGTGTTTTCCAGCATCTTCTTAATTTGAGTGGACTCATCTGGTTGAAGTGTTTAACAGTGTGGACTCGCTCGTGTGTTGTCGCCTTCCACAGATCGTGCCGTCCCATGCCACATCAAATTTTTGAGATCTCAGAAAGTTGTTTACATCAGCTGTGGAGATGAACATACAGCAGCCTTGACAAAGGTATGATTTAACTGTGTTGTACATGCTTTACATATGGATGTTTAATTTTGGCCATTTCTAGTAACAGATATTATGCAACCAGATATTATAAAGTCTTGTTTTGTTAGGTCGTTCTTGTTTAGCTGCCATAAAAATTGGTGCAAGAGATTTATATTATTTTACACAACACTCTGTTAATACAGAGTTAAAAACTGAGTCTTATTCCAACCACACGGTCTAACCCCATCTTATCTTAATCTACCACCTAACGTGTGCCATAAGTGTTTTAGTGCAAGACTATGCATAAAGTTTCCCTCTTAAATGGAAAAAAGCACGGAAAAGGTCAGTGTGTTTACTCTTCCTGGCAGGATGGCGGCTTGTTTACGTTTGGTGATGGCTCGTGGGGTCAGCTGGGTCACGGCTCCACCAATAGTGAGCTTTTACCTAGACGAGTGCTGGAGCTCATGGGCACCGAGGTGTCCCAAATCACCTGTGGCAGGTACTGTCTCTGATAAACCTACAGAGGGCTTTTGTTGGTTATACCCATACGATCTCATGGAACCAAGTAAAACAACACTGGAGTAAAGTCTATGTTTATGAAGCTTAAACTTTTTTTTGACTCTCAGAAAGCCGCAGTTTTAACTCTCTTGTACGGTGTGTGTTTTTTTGTTTATTTTGTTTTAGTATTTTCTCCGCACCTGATGGGAAAGGAATACTGAAAAGACTTATAGAAAGTTACCTTGTCCCTTAAATGTTAATAGCTTTGATTGTTTTGCTTCCAGCCACAGACATTTGTTGCATCTTTTTTTTGCTCAGTTATTTCTTTTATCCCCTTGACCGTTAGAACAAAACTTCTCTTTGAGAATCCAAATTAAAAAAAAATATAAACATTAGTAATAATTAAAAAATATCTGCTGCAAAAACAACTGATCTAAACTGAACATGTTAAATCAGAGAGCTGTAAGGTACCGTTGATCATGTTAACTGCATATCTAATGCTGTAAATGTGTAACTATCAAAGTGGTAAATTTACTTTTTTGAGTTTCTTCATTTCGTGGTTTTTCCTTTTGCCAGGCACCACACGTTGGCGTTCGTGCCTTCCTCTGGCGTGGTATATGCGTTTGGTTGTAACAGCCATGGCCAGCTGGGAACAGGAATACTGGGGGATGCCAGAAGCCCATTTCCTGTCAAGGCCAGTTTCCTGACTGGAAAATTCCATAGAAGAGGTAAGCAGAGGACTTGCCGATCAGTCCCTATATGCTTGTGACCGAATGCCTTTTTAAAAGTGCCTCATTCCCACTTCTCACGTTTGTTAGACATGTGTCCTGTTTGTGCCTTTACTGGTAACTGCAGTGGAAATCCAGGCAGGCAGCTGTGAATGTTACAGTTTTATTTGGCCTAACCATTATGGTCCTGGGAACCTTGTTTCCGATTTTTTTCCTTGAAGACAATGGAGAACTTTGAGAGAATTTACAATTTACGAAGTCTTAAAACAGAAAGAACAGACTGATAACGATACAGTGGGCTTTGTTAGTGTCCAGCTAGACTCTGCTGCTTCACTGTCTTGCGGAGGTATTTCTGATTTGGCTCCAGTTGCTGTTGCCAAAACAACCAAGAGGATAGTTGGTATTCAGCCAAAACAGCTTGTATTTGCACAGCAGTGTCTTCTGTTGGATTTACCAGAAATCATCCTGCAATCTGCTTGTAATGTAGGCTAGGGGGTGTGAGTCACAGCAGAGATTTAAAAATATATATATATATTGTAAGGAGACTGCAAGAACACAATTTATTCTGCCATGTATATCAAATTGAAATAGCACAAAGAAGAGCTTTTGAGCCAAATGCTTTATGATTGCTTTATGCTTCCACAGTGTATTATTCTTTATCCTTCATTACTGTGTATCATCTTTTTTCTCAAGGTGAGGAATCATTACAGACACATGCAGTTTAAAGTGCTTTACAGTGTGAAATATATATATTTTATTCCCTGTTATTATGTTCAGTGTCTATCTCTTTTTTATGTTTCTTAATTAGAATCAAAACAGTATACCGTGACCAAAATCATCTGTGGAGGAGACCATAGTTTCTTATTGTACTCTAATGAGCAGGTATGTGATTTCATAAAGATTAATACTAAAATATCACATTTTTTTAAAATTAAAAATATATACTTACTTCCAGTTTTACCATTGTTATTGTTTGTTTGAATTTTCATGAATTACATAAATGCTTTGTTATTTATTTTCATGTTAAAAATATAGAGAAATGTGAAACTGAAAATCAAAGATGTACTCTAAAAACCATCAGGAATTAAAAAATGATTAACTGTATGTGACACACATGTGCTTCTTAGTTTCCTGCAGCACGCTGTATAATTCTAAGCAATCACATCCAAAAACTCCAAGCAGTCATGTCTGTGTTATTTAGGTTTAGTGTTTCACCACAGGGTGGCGTTAATGTCTCAGCTTTAACCAGTTCAGTTGATGGAACTCTGTATTTGGAGCCTTTATCTGGTTAAAAAAATGTAACTTTCAAGCAAACTGTCAGGAACGTAGGCTGATAAAGATGTAAAGCGCTTAGCCAAAACATTTCCATCTCAGGCGTGGCCTCTTTATTTTGTCGACGCAACCCAGATCAAACTTTGCCACACAGACTGCAAAGGACCAAAGCAAACAGTCTTCCGTGTTTGTAACAGTGGTGTTATGTGTTCTCTGTCTTCCCCTCTACAGACCTCTGTCCCCTCGGAAGACTTCAGAGTGATTAATATTGGCAAAAGTCTCTCACCAATCAATTATGAAAGTTTGAATTCGTTGAGGCTGAAACTGATGTACAACACAGACTCTAGCATCACAAAGTAAGCCAACGATAAAAGGGTATTGTGTCAGATATTTTAGATTATAAGCTAGAATGTAGACTCATATATAATTGGTTTACACAAATACACACAGAGCTTAATTCACTTTAATCACTGGAAAGTCTCCCCCGTTACATTTTCATTGTAATGTGTGTTTCGTTTACAGTGACGTCATAGTTCAGCTGTCGTCGACGGCGTGCTGGAATGCCAGCTTCTTGGACCAAAGGTGCATAGACCTCACCTGCATCAATATGAGAAATACACAAATAGTGCAGTCAGGACTTGTTTTATATTGGAGCACGGTTGCATGTATTAATGCAAACACCTTCAGTGGAAGACAAAACACCACTGAGCTTACATTTTTCTAAGAGCTTTTCTAAAAGCTTAAGAGTATTAGTGAATCTACATAGACAAGATATTTTTTCTTTAGAAAAGGTACTTCATATAAATTAGATTTTGCTACTTTTACTTAAGTCAGACTTGTAATTTTATTTTCACCTTTAAGAAAAAGAAGACACTGTTGACCTTGAGGAGGAAAAAAGAAACAAACATTTAACAGTTAATAAGATATAGCACCAAAATGCGAAGTGTAAAGAAGAGCTGAAATAATTCATTAAGAGGTGATAAAAATGTTTAAGTTCCCACCTTACTAGTGCAGGATTTAGTCAGTATTTGCCAAACAAACCTTGGATGCATGCATACCATCTGGATGACAAGTTATGACCAGATATTTTATTCTTCGTTCTCCGTCACTGTCTGTGTTATTATTAGAAGAAGTGTTTGATTTCTGCAGGTTGAAAATGTGACAATGGTTTATGTTAGACAGGCACGACATATTTAAAATAGTTAGTACAATTATGTGCTGCACGTGTCTGTATCGCTACTGTGCTGAGCCAAAAATAGCACATGCTCAGGATATTTGGCCTTGGTTCAGGCAGTTGACAGATGGCACAAACTGCAGTCGCGCTCGACATCAAAATTGCAGTTTTTCCACTGAATGCTGCCACAGAAACTCTCCCAGTATTTTAGGACAAAAAAAGGGCACCACAGTCCCCAACAAAGGTTTAAAAAAAAAAAAGGAAACAAGAAGGATCTGTTAGCGTTTTATTAGTGCAGATTCATCACAGAGTAACTTCTTAAGCCCTTCAGGTGTGTGTCATAAATGAAGGAAACGCATGCCGTGTGATCAACTCACAAAGATGTACTTTCTCTGTCAAATAATAATAATAATAATGGATTGGATTTATATAGCGCTTTTCAAGGCACCCAAAGCGCTTTATAATGCCACTATTCATTCACTCTCACATTCATACACTGGTGGAGGCAAGCTACAGTCGTAGCCACAGCTACCCTGGGGCAGACTGACAGAAGCGAGGCTGCCATATCGCGCCATCGGCCCCTCTGGCCAACACCAGTAGGCAAGTAGGGTAAAGTGTCTTGCCCAGGGACACAACGACCAGGACAGAGAGCCCAGGGATCGAACGGGCGACCTTCCGGTTACAGATGCGATTCCCAACCCCCTGAGCCACGGTTGCCCTCAAATACCCTCAAATCAATGCATATCATCTTATCCAGCTGATTGTCAGGCCTGGGAAAGATGCTATCTGTTTGGTTAGCGAGATCTGTGCGAGTCCATCAACCTGTGTGTTGACATCATGATGTGTGTAGGACAAACTAATCAGCAGATACTTATCGCGTCCTGGGAATGAGTTGTAGAGGTCACCGGGTTGGAAAAAAAGGCCTCACAGACACATGCGTGAAAAATGAATCTTTCAAAAACTGAAATGCCACAGGAGGTAAAACAAATAGTAACATCCATCATAAAGTAAGTAAGTAGTGCATATGAAATACAGGAGGACAGACTTGTACTAATTGACTGACTAAATGGAAATAAATGTTAGTTTCTGCCTTAGTTAATAACATGAAAACCTTCCCAAAAATGTAGCCATAAAAACTGTATTTGTATCTCCTTTTATTAGGTACAGCTGTGGGATTTGCTGCAGTTGTTCAGAGCACATCCATGCACAGGAAGTATTAGCATCACAGTTGGGAACCAAAACTGCTCAGATGGTGCTTTAAGCTCAGAGAGTTCTCTGAATTTAATGGGTCATTGCGGTGACTCAGTAGTTTTGCAGCACAAACCGCTGCACCATCTGCAGCACTGTTTGCTCTTTGACAAACAGTCTCCACAGGATCACGTCTAATCTGACTGAGTGGTAAATGGTAAATGGCCTGCATTTGTATAGCGCTTTACTCAGTCCCTAAGGACCCCAAAGCGCTTTACACTACAGTCATTCACCAATTCACACAATGGCAATGGCAAGCTACGTTGTAGCCACAGCTGCCCTGGGGCGCACTGACAGAGGCGAGGCTGCTGGACACTGGCGCCACCAGGCCCTCTGACCACCACCAGTAGGCAAACACGGGGTTAGTATCTTGCCCAAGGATATTTGGCATGCAGCCAGGAGGCAGCCTGGGATCGAACCACCGACCTTCTGATTAGTAGCTGACCTGCTCTACCACCTGAGCTACAGTGCTGTAAATAGTTGCCATTAGGGATCAGTCCACTGTGTCAGTCAGTATTTGTCTTGTTGTGCCTATAGGGAAGGAAGATGGCATTTACAGATAGCTAAATCTTTAATGCTCAGTGTCAGTGATATGTTGAGGGTTGTTTAAGGCGAAGCAGCGAGTGTGTTTATCAACTGGTTCTCACTCTCGTCATCTCCCAGGCAGAAGAAGAGATCTGCTTAGGGATAGACGTAAATACATTTAGGCTGCATGTATACTTAACCATTGCTTATATTGCAGTGAGTATTATCACACCTACCTAAAGGTGACTCACAGCTGACCTGCTGGATGACAGCTTGGAGTAGACCTGTGTTTAATCCAAAGCAACTTTCCATCAAAGCTTTATCACGAATTCCCTGAATATGAGCTCTGTTTTTTATCCTTTGCTGAGATCTCACTTATATCTTTCTTTATCTGCTTTCTCTCAGTGATGATACCCATTTCAAAACCAACCCAAAGATCCCAGGCATCGATCTCAACTCTGTCAGAATGCTGTTTGAGACTCTGAGCAAACCAGCTTTCTCTGAACTCATGGAGCAGGTACTGCTTCTAACCTCCAAACCCAGTTTACTGTATGTCTTTAAGGACACATGGTGCATGTGTTTGATAATGTTTGTTGTCTGACTTTCTTTATCTGACCAGAAGCATGAATAATAATGTGTATGTGTTAGTCCCCATAGGGAAATAGTTTCTCTGCATTTAACCCATTCACCCAGTGAAGCAGTGGGCAGCCACCAATGCAGCGCCCAGGGAGCAGTGTGTAGGGACGGTACCTTGCTCAGGGGTACCTCAGGGTAGCCGTTCAGTGGAGTTGAACCCCCGACCTTCCGATCATGGGGCCACCACTCTACCTACTGAGCTATCCCTTGTATACTAAAGAAAATAGTATACAAGTTTTGGTTTACTCTAATCACCTAATCAATTACCTTTTAAGCTATTACACATAAAGTGGATTCATAAGCAATGAATGTAACGTAACTGTCACCAGACAAAGCTGGTGAGAGCTGTGAAAGATTTAGTGGCAAACAGTTAATCTCAGGAATTGAAGGAGTTCTGCGTGAATCCTAATGAACCCCTGTGCCTCTGGCTGTAGATGTTGCTGCTGAAAATCAGCTGCTCACTCCAAATTAAAACCTCATTGTTTGTATGTAGGTCACCAACGTCTAAATCCACAGTGATTTTCATAGAAATTGGTATCAATGAATGTGATAGAAAGTGATTTTTGTCTGAAACGCTTTGTGTTTTGGCTCCTCAATGATGCAGGTTTAATACATGCAGGGTTTGCTTTGTAACCATTCATTTGGTGGAATAAAAAAAGAAAAAAAAAAAGAAAATCCATGTTTTGAAAGTACATCAAGTTCTGCCACAGATCCATGGCACAAAATGGAGAACTGGTTGACAACTCCTAACATTGGCGCACTAATGTTATGTTTGGGACTGAAGTGGCCTCAGTCTGATTGATGCAGGCTGAGGCCTCTTTCCCCAACCACTAAATAACCTCTCGCAAAATTTAGCAACTGATGTTTTATCGCTGCTGCCTCATTCATCCAGCTTGTTTGGAAATATAAAAATATCCCATCACATTCAGCTTTTTTTTTTTTCTTTTTTCTTTTTTTTTTTTTAAAAACAGTAAAACCCTAATAATTCTCTGACTGCATTTTGTCTCTAACATGAATCTTCTTTCTCTGAGCAGTGTAACTAAACAGAGGGTATAATGTCTGCATCCTCTCTCTCCTGTTTAGGCCACCAAGAGTTTTGAGAGCCTGCTGATCCCTCAGCTGCCACGCTCCCCTCCTGATGTCGAGGCCATGAGGATCTACCTCATCTTGTCAGAGTACCCGGCCCTGCAGGACTCCAAAAACTACATCCGCCTCACTATACCCCTAGCAATGGCTATTCTGCGGCTAGATGCCAACCCCAGCAAAGTATTGGGTATTACATTTGCACAACCACACTGAATACAGTTTTTCATTCAGATTTGACTTTGGGAGATAACTGAGAACTGTGAAGCTCAGCAACTCTGTGCTATGTCCCACCATGTTAAGCTTACGCTGATGTTTAGAATATATCGGTATCCTCGTCCATATCTGTGCTACGTGTGCTTCGTCAGCAACAGATAAAAAAACACCACCCGGACAACAATATTTTCACAGCATCTTCAAACATTAGAGCCTGGCTCATATGGATTTTTGAACTCACTATTGATATTTGAGGAAAACTAGGGGTTTTAACAGAGGTAAAGGTCAGTTACTAGCCCGTCTGCTAGTTTAGTCTTCACTCTGTGGCCACATGAATCAGTTTAATAATAATAATGTTGTTTTTTTTTCTTGGTGGATCCTGAAAATTACTTTCGTGCATTTATTTTAAATATTTGGATGATATTTCATAAAATGTTGTTAACACTTTCAAAGATATTCATAGTGCTGCTGCAATAATACAGACAAGTGACAAAAGCGCTCTGGAGAAAGGTTTGTTCACCTCTGCACATGTGACCGACTGCTGCGTAAAACTGTTCATGCATGTCTGGTCTACGCCACACAAACATACGTTCACTGGCCATTTTATTAGTTACACCTTAGACCCCTTTTTGCTATCAGAACTGCTTTAATACTTCATGGCATCGATTTAACAAGGTGCTGGAAACATTCCTCAGATTTTGGTTCTCATTGACACGGTAATGTCACACAGTTTCAGCAGATTTTTCCATGATGAAAATCTCTCATTCCATCACATCGCAAATGTGCTCTGAGATTTGGACTGTGGAGTCCATTTGAGTGCAGCGAACTCACTGCTATGATCAAAAACGATGAGATGATTTGACATTTGTGACGTGGTGCGTTATCCTGCTGCTTCCTCAGAAGGGACAGTACACTGTGTCATAAAGGGATGGACATTATCAGCAACAGTATTCAGGTATGCTGTGGGCTTTAAACTATGCTCAAATGGTGCTAGCTGTCCCACAGTGTGTCAAGAAAATGTGCCCCACACTACCAGCCTGAACTGTCATTACAAGGCAGGATGGAGCCACGATTTCATGTTGTTCATGCCAAATTTGAACCCTGCCATCTGAATGTCACAGCAGAAATGGAGATTCATCAGGCCAGGCAACATGTTTACAGTCTTCTGTCTGAGCCTGTGTGAACTGTGGTCTCAAATTCCTGTTCTTAACTCTCATGAGTAGCAACTGGTGTGTTCTTCTGTTGTTGTAGCCCATTTTCTTCCAGGTCTGACATATTGTGAGTTCAAAGATGCTTTTTTGCATACCTTGGTTGTAACGAGTGGTTATTTGAGTTCCTGTGCCCTTATTGTCAGCTCGAAGCAGTCTTGCCATTCTGCTCTTTGGTCTTTGGCAGCAAAACATTTTGAACTACTGCTCAGTGGATGGTTTCTCCTTCTCAGGCTATTTTGTGTAAACCCTGAAGATATTTATATGGGAAATTCAAATTATATCAGCAGGTTCCGAAATACTCACACCAGCCTATCTAGCACAACAACCACGCCACGTCCAGAGTCACTTAAATCATCTTTCTTCCCCATTCAGTGCTCAGTTTGAACTTGCGTACATCCCTAATTAGTTACTGCCCTGTGGTTGGCTAATAAGATATTTGTGTTAACAAGTTGTTGAACAGGTGTATCTAATGAAGTGGCTTTAAATTATTTAAGTGCTAAAACAGAATGTCTGTGAAGGTTCTCAGTCATCCAGGTCATCGTAGTCAAAGGAGCTTCCAAAGAAAAGCGTCTGGACTTCTTTAAGTTACTTGAAGACGTTTCACCTCTCATCCGAGAAGCCAGAGTTTCGGGTGAGTAACTCACCCGAAACTCTGGCTGATTGGGACCCACACCCAGTTTCACACCTTGGCTCAGGCGATTAGAGGATCATCAGGGGGTCCTTTTGTCCCTCTGTGGGGGGGAAACTCCCACTAGGTTTATATCTGGGACTCTCCACCATTTGACCTTAGAACTGAAGAAGCTTCTCGGATGAAAGGTGAAACGTCTTCAAGTAACTTAAAGAAGTCCAGACGCTTTTCTTTGCAAGCTCATTTGACTGCTAAAACAGAAGCATTGCTATTGTGTAATTCCTGAAATTCCAATACATCATAGAAGAAACTGACAACCTCAGTGCTACTTGAGTCCACCATAAAATATCATGGTGTATTTGGTTGAGGTCATTTATTTTCCTCTCCTTTTTGTGTCTCTGCAGACAACTGGTGGTGTATCGTGGATGGCAGCGTGTTCACCCGAATGGTCGACATGTACAAGAGCATTGTTGTCTTTATGCTAACAGGAGGCAAGACGGTGCTCGTGCCCATGTTCTATGAGAACTATTTTCTTGCAACTCTTCGGCTGCTGGAAAAGCTCCACAAGGTATTCACAAACGACACTCGCCGTTCTCAGCTGTGCTTGTTCGGCAATACAATCCAAGAAGGAAGTGTTTGTGTCACGGTCAGATGGTTCTCGGTAATCTGTAGTCTGCTGTGTACTGTGACATTTCCTGGAGATCAGCAGGTTTTTGTTCCATGTTACCAGGTAAACTTGAAGGCACAACACGTGGAGTACAACCGCTTTTACATCCCAGACATCACCAGCCTCGTGGACATCCAGGAAGACTACCTCAAATGGTTTCTGAGTAAAGCTGAGATTGTGAGTACTGAGTTTGGGATAGGTTTTTGGGAAGGCATCTGTGTTTGTCAGGTCTGTTTGTCTCTTCTTGCTGCCCACTTGTTTCATAAACAACACTCGGGCACTGGAAGGAATTTAAAAATCTCTTCGTTTCTACTTTTAAATGTCTTTTTATTTTTCAAGTGTCAGGTTTGATCAGATGACTTTTCTTTCATTCTCATTTTTAGAAAGTGGGATCATCCCCTTCACAGGTAGTTGAATTAAAGACTCAGTTATTAAGCATAATAGATAAATGTGATTCATTTAAATGGTTTATTAAGCATTCATTCTGTTTTCCCTGCAGAGTGACTTTCCCGCAGTAAACCTATGTGCCTACCCGTTCATACTGAACGCAAAAGCCAAGACAACCATGCTGCAAACTGATGCTGAACTGCAAATGCAGGTATCCGCTGCTGACAGACTTTATGTGTCAGCAAATGTTTCTTAATTGTTCTCGTTCTCATGTGAACATTGTTTTATCCATTTCTCTCCACCTGTGTCCGTTACCAAGATGGCAGTAAGCGGTGCAAACCTACACAATGTCTTTATGCTGCTCACACTGGAACCCCACCTCGCTAGGAACCCTTACCTGGTGCTCCATGTGCGCAGGAGCCATTTAGTAAGCGACACACTACGCGAGCTCACCATGTACTCTGACGTGGACCTCAAGAAACCACTCAAGGTGAGAGGCGGCACTCACCGGAGGCGTAACTTGGACAAAGCGAAGATTTGTTTTTGTTTTTCATCTGCTTCTTCCTCCCTCCAGGTGATCTTTGATGGAGAGGAGGCCGTAGACGCAGGCGGCGTAACTAAAGAGTTCTTCCTGCTGCTGTTGAAGGAGCTGATGGATCCCGTGTACGGGATGTTCACTCATTACAAAGAGTCCAACCTGCTCTGGTTCTCAGATAAAGTGAGTTTCCCTGGTTGACAGTTAACAGGCAGTGGAATTAGTATGTTAAAGTATTTATCGAGTATATTTAAATATAACTAAGTCTAATTTTAGCATATTACCTTCAACTTGAAACATTACGGTGAGCCGCACTGCTGCAGACAGTTAAACACGAAGCTCTTTTCCAACTGCTGCACCTGCTGTGAACAGGTTTTAATGAATGAGTAGTTGCAATGTCTTCAAATAGGAAACTTCACCTTTTGATATGGTTATCCAGAAGAAAAATGATACTTAATCTGGAGACTGTGTTTTAAAACATCGTAGACAGATCAGAGACAGCTTGTTTATTTATTTAGTTTATGGATAATTTAGAAACACACAACTGTTTAAGTAACTTTGGATATGAACTAAAATCATTGGTTAATTCCTAATGCACAACAGTGTAGCACAGCTAATCCATGCTTTACAGGGGTTATTGCATTTCAGTCACAAAGCTGAAAGCTGCATACAGTGGTCCACTTTTTTTTTCTACCTCTGAAAGAAAAAGGAAAATACTGTGACTCTGCAGACTGAAACATATTTGGACTTGCTGACAATAAGCAGCCTGTGCTGTTGGCTTTTAGCTCAGCTGTTTTCTGGGAAGTAAAGCGTTTAGGCTAATAATGATATTATGAGATCTCAGTGACGTCAGAAAAGAAAGAAGATTTAAGTAATTAGTAAGCATACTGCTCCTGTGCTGTGTGTGTAAATTGCACTCAGCCTTGTTTTAGGTTTGAAGCATCTTGTCTGGGCTGTGTGGGCTCCAGCCTAATTTGCCCCTTGGAGATAATGTCTCTTTGACATGCGCAGGATGGACGAGTCATATCTGTTGCTCAAAAAGAGAAGTCAGTGTTTCAATAAATCCACTGACCTTTTCCTTTTAGTTTGAAGCCTTTCAGCTTTCTTTTGTCTGGGGTGTTTTTTTTGTTTTTTTTTTTTGGACTAAAGAGCAGTCGGCCTATAATTGATTACCCGAATGTGGACTGGCAGTTGTTTGACTGCTGCTGTTTTTTCCAAGAAGAAGAGCTGCTGTTTCTGCAGTTATACACAGAGATGCTGTATGTCAGTGGGAACACTAAGGTTTACAAAACACTCACCTCTATAAGGGAGCTCGTCCCTCAGCCTTGACCGTCATGCTGACTGAGATTGGAAACAACATAATATTAGCTCTGTTCAGTCAGTCACCTCTCTGTCATTCAAATTAAGGTCAAAATCACCCCTCCCCCCCCCCCCCTTTTAAACTAACTCTTTGTAAAATTATTAAGTAAAAAAGTAAGAGGTATTTGCATGAGAGTAGCATTTATTTTATATAGTCCAAGATTCATTTTCTGGCACATAATTATAACACACAGTTGCAGCCATAGTGATAATCTAGAAGATGTCAAGATTTTCTTTTGGAGTGAGACAGAAGGACATGATTAGAAATGAGTACACCAAAGGGACATCTCAGGTTGAGTGGAGACAAGAGATGGTTTGGACATGTGCAGAGGAGGGACAGTGAATATTGGAAAAAGGATGTTAAAGATTGAGCTGCCAGAGACGAGGAAAAGAGGAAGACCACAGAGAAGATTCATGGATGTAGTGAAGGAGGACATGCAGAGGGTTGGAGTGACAGAGGAGGATGTCAGGGATAGAGTGAGATGGAGGAAGATGATCTGGTGTGGCGAGTTGCGCTCGAGGGGTGGTGTTGTTGGTTTCAGGGTCCACTATGTTGTTCCAGAATATCTCAACTATTCGGTAGGTTAATGGTTGGTGTATTTTTAGGCACATACTTAGCGATCATTGGACGAAGCCCACTGCTGATCTACTGACCAGCTGTTTGTTTCAATTCAAACAACTGTCATGGCTGCCATAGCCTCTACAGAATGCTTTGTGTAGATGAGTTAGTGAAACAGCTTCATCAGCTTTCTTGTGTTTTTGTGCCTTGTGATATAACATACAGTCTCTTTCTTGCACGAGGGTGTAACCATTGACATCCTCACATCTGTCCATTGCCAGTTTTTTCATTTTGTACAAATCTGGCTAACTCTTCCAAGTTTTATCTTTTTTTTCCCTTCTCTTCAGCGTCCTTATACTCATCATAAAAATTCCCTTTTAGCACACAAATACAAACAATTTTCCTTGTTATTAAAGCTGATTCTTAAGTGTGATTTCACTAACTCGTCTACACAATTTTGTAGAGGTAATAGAAGCTTTGGCAGTTGTTTACTTTAAATGACGACTTTAATCTCCATATTTTGGCTTTATTCTATCCTTATGATAGCATATTTACCTCGAAGCTCTGATATCTTAGCGTTAAGAAGAAAGGTACCTTTTTCATATTTGTATAGTTCTGTGAGTGTGAATTTACTGCTGGTGTACCATATAACATTTTTCAGCTCGTGGGATGTGAGAAATTGTCGAGTTACGTTGAGCCAGCTGACATGATGCCACCAAAGACTCTGCTCAGATTTCAGCCACAGAGAAGTGGTAAGAGAAAGGCAACAGGAAAATAATGTTTCTGCGTGCATCTCCAGTGTTTTGTAGAGCAGAACTGGTTCCACCTGATCGGGATCATCTGCGGTCTGGCCATCTATAACGCCACAGTGGTGGACCTCCACTTCCCCCTGGCTCTCTACAAGAAGCTGCTCGAGGTGTCACCCACGCTGGAGGACTTCAAAGAGCTCTCACCCACCGAAGCCCGGTAAACATGGCACATTGCAACTCACCATTTATTTTTAATTCATTTTTTAATCTATATATTTATTTATATATAAGGGTTAATCTGTACTCTGAGTTGGTAAAGACTTAAAATAATGAATGAAAGAATTCAATTTTTGATCAAACTTAGCAGAACAGTCTTTAAGTTTTAAGAAATGACATGACATCCTTAAAGCATAAAGAGAGATAACTGTGGGATTAGTGGACTTCCAGAGGAATAGGATGCAACTGAAGAGACCTCTTAGGTGAGAGGTCTTCAAAACTTAAGTCAAGTTCTATTTCAAGATCCTTCAACTACCACGACCTGATTGACTGAGGACCTACACAAACAATAGGAAGAAAGATCTCACCAAAAGCGATGTTTGCATGCAAGCAAGGTATGTTTGGGGAACAAGTGGAACCCCCAAATATAGCAATGGAAGTGGTCAGTTTGTTATTGGGTTCCTAAAACCTTCCATAAAAAATTATGCAGTCTGAAGCAAAAGACAAACAAGGTGAGGCATGACATCTGGCACATTGGTCCATAATGTTGGGGTAAGTTCTTGATAAATAAGACCTTGAAAAGTGGATTCTATATCTTAAATAGTGTAAGTTGAAACCTGGCACAGAATCTAATCTGGAAATAAAGAAATAAATGGGACAATAAAATAACTTGAATGCCTCGATTATGTCACAGAAGATAGGAGGCATAAGTAAGAGCACAGGGTTTTTTTCAATAACGGCATCGCAGACTTAAAATGACTTAAAATGAGACTTCAAACTGAGACTGAATCCTAAGATTGCGCGTAAGAGGAGGGAACTCACAGATTTTTGCGACTGACTGTGTAGCATTTGTATTTCTGGGAGTTAAGGTGCAAAATATAAGGAGGAGAATATTTAAATCAAGCATGAACTTTACAGTTTTGGGTTTTTGTGTATTTTTCTTAATCACCTGTAAAACTAAACACACCTGTTAGCACTATTTGGTGAATGCACTCAGATGCTGTTTTGCTCTGTTTAATAAATCTTGCCCTAATAGGTGATGGAGAGTAGATTAGAGAGGCAGATGAAGAAAAGGATGAGCGAGATTGAATCTCAAGTCTACACCATAGTAACTCAGGCGAGTGAAGCCAGTCGATAAATGTATGAATATGTGAAGACCGATATATAAAACGTGTAAATTGTTCTAATAAAGAAAGTCCCAATCTGGGGGCTTTACTGTCCCACAGAAACAAAGAAATAAATTGGTGCAATGATTTAAAAAAATGCCTGGAATAAAAAAAGATTATGACTCCATTAATTTTAACCTATTGGCAAGAAGAGAAGAAAGTCTGGACACGCAGGGCTGTCAGAGTAAAGTGATGATAATATCTCAGCCTTGGGCCAGCGACTTGAAATAGTCCTCCTTTAGAAGGATGTTTACCTTCATCGGGGTTAGGATCAAATCTGCACCCGGATGCCAAATCCGTGTGCCACTTGTTTACATAACCAGTGTTTTTGCTTTTCAGAGTAGCAGTGAGATTGTTTGCCACTTCATTGAATTTAGAGCAGGAACGGTCAGCATTTCCGTTCAGCCTAATTGTCTCCAGTCAACTATTGATTTTGCGATTATCCATTGAATGTGATTACCGATACGTACGGGCTGCAGCAGCCTGTTGCTCTCGAGACAACACCATCTTAAAGGACACTACATCTTAAAATGTTTGTTCTTATTATTTTGTCTGTCTTTTTGAGCCGTTCAGCTTCAACGGGCTAAAGGCAGCACAGTGGAGACAACACACAGATAAGAAGCAGACACCAGCTCTGCTTTCTGATAAAACATTGTTTGATATTTTCTTTGTACTGTGACCTCAGCCGAGTAACTTGGGTCAAATTGCAAAACAATAATAATATATCCCCTTTGGCTAATTAGCATTTCCGTTGGCAGCCCATTTGTCCTTCCTGTTATTGGTGGTTATAACATCTAGCATTTTCTTTTCAGGAAAACTAACACAACACTCCCTGTGAGTCATTTCCTATTATTAATAATTCACCTCTAATCTGACAGAGCCTGTGTTCACGATTTGTTTCATCTACGGAGCTGTTGGAGCAGCACGGCTGATCCCTGGGTTTTCAATGTAAAGGTCAAACGTGGATAGAGTTGAGAGTTAAATACAAGTATAACACCAAAGAGCTGCAAAGAGTGTTACCGACAAGTTCTGTATTACTACAGCTCCAAGCAGTGACTATAACACTGTGTGTAACACCATAATACAGTTTTAACTTTCCTTGTTTTGCTTCTGTCTGCTGAGCAAATGACAGTTTGAGTTTTCTGTGTTGGTTTTTATGAGTTGATTTCTTTGTTTCTCCAGGAGTTTACAACAGCTTTTAGACTATGAAGGAAGTGACGTGGAGGAGACGTTTCTTCTCAACTTTGCTGTAAGTGTAACTTTTTATTTGTTGATTTTTATGCCACGTGTGTGAAAAAGGCTGGTGTTATTCTTTATTTTGTTTATTGTTAATATGTTCCTTGAAGTTCTACGTTACAGAATGACTCACGACTGTTCGTTCTTTGTCGCCTTGGTGGTATATTTTGGGTCATTGTTGTGCTGGAAGACACATCCATGACCCATCTTCGTTGTTCTGGCTGAGGGACAGAGGCTATATTTTACATTACATGGCCACAGTGGCCCCTCATTGTGTTGAAGTCGTCCTGTCCTTAGCAGAAAAACAGCCCCAAAGCATAATGGCTTTACCTCCCTGCTTGACTATGTGGATGGTGTTCATACTCAAAGAATCTCGTATTTCAAGTCAAGTTGATGTTAAAGAGTCTGATCTTTGGTTTCGTCTAACCGCGGCATTTTCTCCCAAGCCTTCTCTTGCTCATTGGCAAACTTAAGACTGGCCGTTACAAGTGCCATCTTGAACACTTCATAGGTGGTGAAAGATTTTCAGTTCATTACAACGTAGCATATTGCCAATGGTGTTCTTGGTCCTCTCTGCCAGTTTTGGGGTGATGCATCACCCTCATCCCATAGGGCAGGCTTTTCATGGTGATCAGTTTATATTTCTTGCATTTCCAAATAATCACACCAGCATTGTCACCTTCTCTCCACGCTTCTTGCTAATGGTCTTGTGGCCCATTCCAGCCTTGTGCAGGTCTACAGTCTTGTCCCTGATGTCCTTTGATGGCTCGTTGGTCTCCCTCATGGTGGTGATGGAGAGGTTAGAATGGAAGAAATTGATATTGTGGACACATGTGCTTTATATACATAACAAGTTTGGATCAGGAGTCTCTGTAATTGATTGACATACATTTTAATCTGTGTACCACACAGGCACTAGGGTGTTTACCTTACAATATAAAGAGCCTTGAGACGACTGATTTGGCGCTATATAAATAAGACAATTGAATTGAATTGATCCTCTGGCTTCTACAATGTGGGGTTAACTGAAAATGAAGTACAGCACATGTTAAGGGATCCTTGGTTGTAAAGATCTGTGATACAGAAGAAGGGCCTAAAACAGTCTTTGACTGCAGAGGAAAATATGTGTGTGTGTGAGGTTTAGCTGACAGATGGTTTTGGTGTTTGGAAAAAAACAAAAAACAAAACTGGAGCATCACAGGACTTCTTTAACTTTAAAATGTTAAAAAAATAAAGCTGCAATTATCTTGTGCGGCTTGTGCACTTTTGCAATGTAAAAAAGCTCCACAGTGAGTCTGTTTGTTGTGCTCATGTCTTAGATCACCAGGGAGAACTACGGGATGACAGAAGTCAAGGAGCTGATTCCCGGAGGAGAGAGCGTCGCTGTGGACAAAAACAACAGGTTTGGTGACTCGACAAATCAAAAAAACGCACACTGAAAATTTAAGCTGACTTTTCAGCACGTTTCAGTCGGTATTTCAGGAGGCAGAGCAGGTCACCTACTAATCGGAAGGTTGGTGGTTCAATCCCCGTCTGCTCCGGTCAAATATACTTGGGCAAGATACTAACCCCAAGTTGCTCTCCCATGCATCCATGGGAATGTGAATGTGTGTCAATGCTGGATAGAAAGCACCTGGATAGGAAAAGCATAGAAAAAAGTGCTGGTGTGAATGAGTGAAGCTTTATAAAAAGCTCTTTGAGTTCTCGGAGTAGAAAAGCTCTATATAAGAACCAGCCCGTTTACCAGATTAGATTTAATTTCATGAACGTTTCCATTTTTTCAGTGCTACACGCTCTGTCCTCTCTGAAGGAAGAAGCAAAGACTGTGAGATTTTACTTTTTTTCCCCGCACAGCGATTATAATGCGCTCATAGAGCCAGCAGCTTGTGTCCCATTGTTGGAGCTGAAGGCCACGATCTGTGCTGCACACACAGACACAGTTTTTTAGATTCACTCACACCGTGCTATTGCGCCTCATTTCTAGCTGCTGTCCTTGTGCCAGTGGCACTGATTACAGCGTTATGTGAAGGAGTCCTCAGAGAGAGAGCGTTTGGGGGCGGGCGGTGTCAACATGTCTGGCTGCTGGTGCTGAACAGATGGCGAGAGCAGCAGTAACACAAATTGTTTCTCCAAAATCCCTTCGACACTCAGATATGGAACTATAACAAGAGGAATATTAGATTGTGGTATTAAAGCAGCATCTCATACCGCACGTTTTATTTTGATACTGAAGGTTACTTTATCAGACTGATGAATCCTGCCTTTGTTTTTGTTTCGTTTTGTGTTGTGTAAGACAAGTTTGGTGTTTGCAGGGCTTTGTGACCCCTGTGGGTGTGACTTGCTTGGCTGGGAAGACTGTAGCATTGGTCTGAAGCCTGTATTTATTAGCTTGTTGACGTGAAGCAGTTGTGTGCGTGTCTGTGCGCTGGTTTCCTATATGAGAAGACCTGCTTGTGTATTTCTCTCAAATTTCAGGAGAATCAGAATCAATCAGAATCAGAATACTTTATTAATCCCGAGGGAAATTAGGGTTACAGCAGGCAGCACGCTAATGGCGCATGCGCACTTACAAAGGAACCTTCTGACCAACTGTTGGAGCATGTTGGTCCTTCTGTTGGTACCCTCCCTGTTTAAACGGGGGTTTGTGGCAGCAGCTGCTACACAGAGTCCTTGCTTTCTAAATGAAACGACATCATTACTTTCTGTGTGTGTGATCAGGGAAAAGGTTTTAAAAATCTGGTTTCTCTCTTTTTCTTCTTTCTTGGAGTGATTGCTCGAGGATTGCGCGTTCCTGAACATTTGAGTTAAAGTAACTGGTTTCTTCTGAATCCCCGACATCTGATTCACTTTGGGATTTTTAACCTGTTATTTTGAATCTATTAAGATGCTGTTATGCACTGTGTGTGGTTGGCTTGGGGTTTCCTGTTGTTGTAGCTGAGTACATGTCTTAGACAGAGATAGCCTGAGTGAATATAAAATGTATTTATTACGGGGAAAGAAAAGTTCTTAAAACCTAATGCTCCCTAAAACCAATAACTAGTTGTGTTACCAGTTAATAGTTATTAATGCTTGTGCAATCAAGTGTTTGTAATTACTGGCAGTGAGTGTTTCACATCACTGTGGAGGGATTTTGTCCCACTCCTCTTTGCAGAACTGTTTTAATTCAGCCACACTGGAGGGTTTCTGAACGGCCTGTTCAAAGGACACGACAAAGCATCTCAATCAGACTTAAGTCTGACTTTGAGTAGTGATGGAAAGTGACAAATATGTTCTGCTTTCTTCTCCCTTTTGTCTTTGACATGTTTTATAAATGCATGGATGTCTATCACTGACTGACTGCAGTAGTTGCTCAGCCCAAACTAAAGCTTTCCATTGGTCTCCCAAATTTAAAAATAATGTTGAAGCTGCACATTCCTCTCCTTCAGTACAGTAATTTTACTTTTAAGCATTCATTTCAGAGGTCTTAAAATAGATTAATGTTAGGAACTCTGTTTAAATATAAGTCTTTCAGGAGATTTATTCAGCATTTCGTGTCCTGCTTCTGTAGTTTAGCTTGGCACAGTGAAAACAAATCTGTTTTAGTATTTACACATATATTGACGCACTCACAGGTGGCTCCAGCACAGATGAAGAGATTAGAGGTTTAATCTACCTAAGCAACTTCTGCGCTAAGACCTCACAGAGGTGTAAGCAAAATTAGAGCGGGCTGGATGAAGAGGACGTTGATGAGTTCCAAGCAGGTTTCAAGAAACAAACCAAAAAAAAAGCTTTGAACAGACAGCTCAGACAATGTGAACACACTCAGATTCAGACACAAAGAGAGAGGAAGAGAGTGTTTATAGTCCCACTTTGACATCTGAATAAATGTGCTCATTTTCTGCATGTTTACTGAACCTGTGTGTGTGTGTGTGTGTGTGTGTGTGTGTGTGTGTGTGTGTGTGTGTGTGTGTGTTTGTGTGTGTGTGTGTGTGTGTGTTGTGTGTGTGTGTGTGTGTGTGTGTGTGTTGTGTGTGTTTTTCAGGAAGGAGTTTGTGGAGGCCTACCTGCGCTACGTGTTCTCAGACTCGGTGGGGGAGCAGTACTCTGCCTTCTCCGCTGGTTTCCTGAAGGTGTGTGGTGGTGAGATCCTGTCTCTGTTCCAGCCCTCCGAGCTGATGGCCATGGTGGTCGGCAATAATAACTACAACTGGGAGGAGATGGAGAAGGTCAGTGTGTGGTTTAATCATCTGCACATGTACTCCGACTGCTCTGATCAACTTTCCAGCTCAGGGTCAGCAAAGCCTCTCCTCACTGTGTGTGTTTTTCTTTTTTTGTTGTTGTCATTTTTGGATTAAAATCTTGAATCCCCTGCAGCACAAGTGTTTGCAGACCAATAGTTTATATGTGAAAGATTTGTTCAGATGTTGCATTTAAAAAACAAACAAACCCTAAAATCCTTGTCATCGACCACAGGAAAGAATGATGTAGTTTTTAGCATTGTGTTTATATAACCAGGGAACTGCCTCGCTCAGAATAACCACTGCAGCCATGCCTGCGGCTCTACATACCAGCCTCAGTGAATGATAGATGTTTAGCTTTAGCATCTTAGATTAGAACGGTAGTGAGAGACACCCTCAAACATTACCTCAAACCATCACCTCAGGCGGTGCTACATTGTACCTGAAAGATTAATTATAGGTGTTTACGTCTTTAGTAAGAAGCAGGAAAGAAAAGGCTCTTTCACTGGTGTAAGACACAGATACCGGCGAACCACGTTTGGTTGTTGCGATTGTCTTTTTACTGGATGCAAAAGAAAAAATGGAACAATAAGTATAAATTCTGCAGTGCTAAAGCGACAAAAAAAAAATTGAGTTTGACGCAGTATTAGCAAGTTAGAAATCAAACTTCAGGAGATATTTCTGTAGTGTGCTATTCCAGTGTCATACGGTCATTTGAGAGTGTCCTGAAACATCCATCCCCCCTGCACCACTTTCTGTTTGAATGTCAGCGCAAGGGCAGATGTTTCAGGACATTAAAAACATGAACCAAAGAATTTTTTTTATCCAAAACTCATAAATACACTTGTAGTAATGTGCAGTTTTTAAGAGAATCAACTGCAATGAATGCCCATAGAGTGTGAAGGATTGTTTGGGATGATGGGTTTTTACTTGTGTACATATATTTACTTTATATACATATTATTTTCAAATGTTTGCACTAATGAGACTGCATCAAAATTCATTGCACATGTGTAATGATAATAAATAATTTATAGATTTAGTTTACTTTTTAATGTTTCAGCTGTTTGTGGTTTACCAATCTTACATATTGTACCTTTAGTTGCAAAATACTGAAACGTGTATTATGTTGTCAGAAATATTCTAAATATATATTCACAAATCATCATATTAGGTAAGTTAAAATTTAGATTGGATGGTGAAGAAAACTGTAGATAAATCTGATCTTTTCTGAAAGGCTCGTTCTCGTGTGTTTCGTGTTATTCCTGCCAGATGTTGAAAAAGCACACCTCTGGATCATTTAATATGGAGGCGAATAAATGATTTAGAAACTCCGCTCTTGTGGGTTGTTGTGACATTTGGCTTACTTTGCAGCTCTGGATGTGATCATAAACGGTATGAGCCAAAACAGTTCTTCACATATTTTACCCGTGACTTTATCTCCTGTGTCCAGAGGTCCTTTTTGTGCAGATTACAACATCTGCACAGCAGATTGTTTTGTCAGATGTCAAAAAACTGGGAAACTGATTTGTTGTTTTTTTTTAGGCCAGTAGTTGCAAAAATCACCCAGATTGTTGCACGTCTCTGAGGACTTTATTTCCTGACTGATAAGGAACTAACATGTTTTCCACAAATCAAATTGTTTACTGATGGTAAAACAGGCTTTTAATCTCCAAATCTCTCCTCTCTTTCTACAGAACGCCGTTTATAAGGGGGAGTACACCGCCACTCATCCAACAGTCAGATTGTTCTGGGAGGTTTTCCACGAGTTCCCTCTGGAAAAGAAGAAGCAGTTCTTGTGTAAGCCTTTAATTGCCTCCTTAAATGATCTGCGTGGCAGTTTAATTCTCTTACCCGCAGTCGCTTTGCAGTGTAATAATTTGCAGGTCATGAGAGCAGATCGTGAAGACAGCAGAGCTGCTTCGTGCTGCTTTAACGAAAGCGAGAACTTTTCAGTGTTAATGAAAATAATCGCACATTTCAGGAGTTTTGAATAAAGTGTTTCATTCAACTGTTTACTTTACAAGACCTCAATTATGCTGAATTCTTTAGTAATAGTAAATGATATGATTAAATAATGTCGAGCATAGTGATACCGCTGCTGTTGTGGGAAGTGTGGCATGACGATGTCCTGTTAAAATCACCCTGTGATTCTTGCTCCTAGATCAGAGGTGTCAAACATTTGGCCCAGGGGGCAGAACTGGCACTCTGAAGGGTCCATTCAGGCCAGCTAACCACAAACCTAACATTTGAACTTATGGGTCGTTCGCTGCAGCCACTTTTAATGAGTCTCTGAATGCAGAATTTCAGGTTTTTCAATCTTAATAATGAGAATAATGCAATTTTTTTCTTTTTCTTTCTTTTTTTCTGTTCTGTAATTTTACACATTTATTTAAAGTGTATTTAAAGCCCAAAGAGTTCTGTGGGCAGGTTTCTCTGTTAAACAAGCATTTCTTTGCAGTGTAAAAAAACATGCATGTTGCTTTCATTGCAACCAAGAATGACTTTTAGCCAAAATATGAAAATCGGAGCAATATTCTCTGCGAGTCAAAAATTGTCTAGACAGGCAAAGACCAGATTTATTAATAACATCCAGAAACATCAAGCTTGTGTCTGCACAAGAGCACAAACATGTTTCAGAGAGCTTCCCTAATTTTGTTTTACCTCGGTTCCATATGTCCCCTTTCTGCCTGCAGTGTTCCTGACCGGTAGTGACCGCATTCCCATCCACGGCATGGAGAGCCTGCGCATCATCATCCAGTCTACCACAGCAGAGGAGCACTACCTGCCCGTGGCCCACACATGCTACAACCTGCTGGACATGCCCCGCTACCAGACCAAAGAGATCCTGCGCCGCCGCCTCACTCAAGCCGTGGAGCAGTACGAGGGCTTCAGCCTGGTCTGAGGGGAGTCCCAGGGGAGACTTAACGCACTTTAACAGCAATACACCCCCACGTGAGTGTCAAGAGTGTGAGTGGGCAATTGTTGGACACAGGAGGGTCACTCTGTTTATATATGGTCTAACAAGATCGTTAAGCATCTTGAATCTTAAAGGTCTATGTATGTAAATGCAGAGTGTTATTGCTTTTTTGCTTTGGGCAAAGTTCCTCAGCCTTCCAGGACCATTTAGAGGAGAATCAAATGACTGATAGATAACAGCCAACATGGAAATTAACCAAAAAAGCACTAAATGGACTAAAATGTGCAGAACGACCCTGGATTATGAAAACTTCGGGACCTAAAAACCAGGACCAGAGAAGGTTGAGAAACTCTTAATTTCTTTTTGCTTTGTTTTGTTTGCAAAGCTGTGTATTTTATATTCCTTAAATTCTATTTTTAATCATTAAAGAATCATGTTATTACCTTGAGACAATATATTGCTTTTTGTTACTTTTAATTTATTAAATAGAGTGGTTATTTTTTGACAAAATTAACACACACACACACACACACACACACATACATATATACGTGTATGTAAATAGCACTTTGAATATAATCTTCACTGTGAGGTTGGGAGGAGTGTTAGTCCCGCTGATCCTTTTAAATCTGCCACCAGCATGTCCTCTATGCCTGCTTCTGAAAGAGGACAAGCGAGTCAGGCAGGGAGCGGAGCATGCTGAACATCGTTTGCAATCCCTCGTTCTGTTTTAGCTGTGGCTCACAGAGCAGCTGACTTTGTTCTTGAACCTGCATTCAACAGTGTTGCCTTTCTACAGCAAAACCTTCTGTACGGAAACAAAACTTTATTTATTTATTTATTTTTTTGTGGATGTGTGTGCATGTTACAGAGTGAAAACAAAAACCAGATTGTCATTTAGCAGTGACGTTTTTGGAAATGTGATTATTCGCTTTCTTGCAAGAAAAGCATGTCAGCTGAATATGAAGCATCAGTTAGCAACGCTCAGACTGGAAGTGGTAGCAAATACATGTTTGGCTCCTTCAGATGGACACAAAAAGATCGCACTTCCTGTTGTTACAAGCATGTGGATGTCGCGCTTACTGGCTGTTTAGTTAGATTTTCTAGCTGAAAGGGGCCGCATCATCTGCGAGGTCGCAATCAAACAAGACCCCATGAGATGACTGTATTTGGACTAATACGCTAAGATGTTGAGTTTGGCATTAGCCGTGATGAGTTATAGAACAAGTCTGTGCCCCTATGTGGTTTTATTGAATGAGGAACTGTAGATACCAGGCTTTAAATACACTTTGTAATTGTATTAAGTTGGGTGTCTTATCATGGCAGTCAGTGGGGATTAACTTAGCCTCAGCCTCCAGTGGCCACTACAGGAATTGCAGTTTTTGTTGTTGTTTTTTTAGTGCTTCCAGGTTTGCTTATAATATCTAAAATGTGACCTTGCCATCATACCTTTGCCCTCGATGACAGTGCCTAGCAACAACATAACCACAGTATGAAAGGTGGAGCTAGTCAAGATAACACCACCCATGGACAGTGAAGACCCTAGCTAATCATTTTTGCCTGAAACTGGACGTGATGAGCGAGGAAACCGAGGGACAGTCAGCTTATCCTGGCTAATCCTCCTTTGTGACTATAAAATCATTTACAAAATGAACTTCCTGTTTCATTCAGTGTGAGCCAAAACTAACGACTGAGCCCATAAACTCTTCAGAAAAATGTCTACTGAGGTTACAGAGACATGGACCCCAGGGCGTGTTCTCCACAAGAGTCGCCCCCTAATGGCCATTCTAAAGAATCCATATTTTACTACAGTCTGTGCGAGCAACAGGTGGAAGACCCAGAAAAAGAGAGCACCTCTTGTTTAACCACTCTGGTTTCCAGCGATACACACTCCATGTTTGCCGTGGCGTGGATGCAGAACAGTCTCCTTGATTAGTGCTAATTTTAATTGCTTTCGTGAAGTATTTTGAAACAGATTTTTAGATACACATTTTGATAGTGTGGTCCCTGACACAGACGAGTGTCTGAATACAGTCAAAGTCCTTCTTGGCCAACGCAGCGGTATCTCAACAAACCAGGAGTTCGTCCTGTTTCTCTCTTCAATTCCATATAGTCTCTTTCAGTAGACACAGTAGATTTAAATATTCAGGAGGACACGACAATCCCAAACTGTCCAATCACAGCCATCGCAGACTGTGTCCATGTGGTGTGTAGTTACGGTGTAGGCTGCAGGGTTGCAGATTTACAAATATAAATCCCCTGTAAGTGTGGATGACAAAAACTGTCATTTTTTGTGTTTATGAAACTTTTCTCCCAGCCTTATTCACGCTTCTTTTTTCCCCCTAACAAACACTCTCATGTCTTCTATAAAATGATGACTTAGACCTCAGAGGGTTAAACAAACTTTGATCATTTTTGATCATCAGAGCGGCTCTCAGTTGGATTTATTCACCGTGTGACGGAGCCAAACTAGCCGTGTTTTTGCTAGGCCAAGCAAACCGATTCCTCTGTAATGACATTTGAACCGATCTGCTAAGAAGCAAATAAAAACATGTCCCAAAATGTCACATAAACCTAAATATACAAACATGAGAGTTAATAATTGTTATTTGTCTGGTCTCCAAGTGGAGATGAATATTTTAAGAGTGTGGGCAGATGACTTAGTAAAAAGTCTGCATATAATAGCCATTTGATGATAAACTGTACCCATCATATTATTCCAAAAGTCGCCCTGATGATGTATAAATATTCCTGCAGTGACACCTCGCAGTACAAGATAACATTTAATTAGGTTGTGTATTAGCGTGACGTGCGTGGAATCGTCTCGCATATATATAATATATATTTTATATACATTTCATACACGACAGTGGTGTTAATGTGACTTTGGGCAGTAAAATGACTCGATGTGTTCTGACTAACACGTCCTCTCAGCAATAACAACCTGAAGCAGCCCACTTCTGTACTCACAGCTCTGGGCCAAACATATAAAGGTCTCAAATGCTGGCAGTTCATCTTATTGCTTAGTTCTATACTGCATGTGTACACACACACACACACACACACACGCATATTCAATCAATATTTGTCTGATTAAGGCTCCTGCAGAGTTTAGTCCTATGCAAAGGTTTGTGAAGCCCTTGACTTTTTTGCACCTTTAAATGTGCTAGAGAATAAGTTTTTTTTTTTTGTTTGTTTTTTTTTTAAATCATTATTTGACTGAAATTTACTCAAAGCTCTCTGTTCCAGCCAAGGTTTTCAATAAAATACGGTATAAAAGCAAGACTTCTGTGTGGCCTGTGATTGCATTTGAGCTTCCTCATTAAATTGCTTGAATTCATGAACCTATGACCAGATGGACCAGATGTGATGCCTCTGATTCATAGAGTTGTTTTTTAGTGTTTATCTGAGCACCTGCTGTTAATGTTAGGGTTCTTGTTTCAGTATAGTTTATTTTTAATTGATATTTTATGAGGGGCATATGTCAGAGGTGAGATTTTAGGTGTTACAAGAAAAAAAATAAGTTTTTGAAAGCAGTTCACTCCCATTCTTTCAAACGTTCAGTGAACATGCTTCATCAGCCGAGATGTTTGAGATCAACATTTGAGATCAACTGACTGACCTTGAAGGAGAGGTCAAAGGTCACATATGACATATTTTAAATCCTTACATGGTATAAAGCTTTTTGTCAATTTTATACCAATAAATCATTAAGTTGAACTGAAGACCATGATGGGTGAAAGACAAATTTTATTATACCACATATAATCTTTTATATGTACATTCATATTTAAACAATTTTATTTATTTAATTTGGTGCTGTAGTTTTTTTTTATACACGCTTTTAATCCCTGTTTTATTTCCTTTTATTACTTTCCTTCCCGCCATCGCACAGTGCTCTAGGGAGGTCCTTACCTTCCTGTATAAAGCGCCTTGAGGCAGCTGATGTTGTGATTTGCTGCTATATAAATAAACCGACTGATCTCAGATCTGTCTGTAAAGTCCTTCGACTGGATGAGTGAACATTCGCAACTTCACAAAGGAAAAACACAGAGCCCAAAAAACCTTCAGTAAAAATATGATTTCATTCACATTATATACAAAATACAATTTATGTACTAAAATGTACACACTCAGTTCATTAAGCCCGGCCAGTGTTTACATTCAGTGAAAACAAATTCACACTGATTACCATCCAGAAAATTGGAGAGAAAAAAAAGGGATAAAGTACTCGCTCACAGAAATGTAAACATATACGATAATCCATATTTACAAACAAACAAACTACAGCGAGGACCAGAGGACGAGGCTTCGTCGACCACGCCCGCGCTCGCCTCAGAACTGGCCTTGTCAGTGTTAATCGGTGTGAGCAAACACAGCAGTGATTTAAAGGGGACGATAGCTTATTTAACATCAAGTAAATGAGGGGAAAGCAGGTTAAGGCGTACAAAAACGCAGCAAGTGTCAGTGGTCATCTTGAAACTGGGTGATTTCCAGGAGATGAAAGATTTTGGCTCACTGTGTCCGCTCTGAGCTGCTGTCTTTGGGCCCCAGTGAAAGAGGAAACCACTTCTTTCAAACGATAAAACTTTTACAGAAGAGGATTTAATGCTGTGGTCACAAGTGAAACTTCGGTACTGTCAGCATGATCGAGTAACATCTCCTTTAGAAAAATACACGCGATCCTTAAAAAGCAGCGACGATTTTATAGCTAATGACCGAATTATCAAGTGTTTTGGGTTCTTTTTGGTTTTTTTAAGACTTCTACGGCTGTGCATGACACAAACATTCAAAATAAATTATCAGCAATACAAGTGTGATTCAGTTTAGTTTGTGCGTATGTTGCTTCGTCCGGAGTGACGTCCCCTCCTCGAGGTGAGGTGACGACAACGTTTTTCCAGGCGCAGCATTTGACGGAGGGAAACCCTCGAGCTCGACGGAGCGCGTCAACAGCATCCAACAGTGAGGAAAACATGACTGTTTCTAGCAAGGTGAGATGTGTTGACTGTGACACTGGAGACACAGCACCAGTCCTCTTATTGAGTCTTTGCTTTATTCAGATGAATTTAGTTGAGTCTCTTTTGCTGATGAGCACTTCGAGCAGCCGCAGTTTGGCTTTGACGTGCTTGTATTCGTTGTACTCCACAGCCAGTGGGGAGCGGTCCTCCTTCTGCACGTTCCTGCAGGAACAAGGCGGCAAACGTTACGACGCTGCGAGAAAAAAACCTTCGTGTCGAGGTTTCTCATTATGCAGTTCCAAATATTTGACATTGACAAACTCTTTTTTTTCTTACCTTCCGTTTTGTCTAAAAAACTGGTCCTCAAACTCTTTCAAGTTCTTGCGAATCCTCTTCTTCTCCTCTCTCGTCTCTTGGAGCTGCTCTACAAGTTCCTGCCTGTGGGGTGAGGAGAAATGTTTTTTTAAATGTCTCACAATAAAATATACAC